CTGATACCTGTTAATTTCATTTGATGACTCTTAGTTCTTATGTTATAGGAACAGGTAAATAACTTCCTTATTCACTTTCTCCATGCTTATCAAGATTTTATAGACCTCTATCATATCACCCCCTAGTCTTCTCGTGTCTAAGATAAAAAGTCCCAGTATTTTTAATCTGTCTTCATATGGTACCCATTCCAAACCCCTAATAATTTTTGTTTCCCTTTTTTGAACCTTTTCCAATGCCAGTGTAGTTTTTTGAGATGAGGGAATCACATCTGTATGCAGTATTCAAGATGTGGGCATACCATGGCCTTGTACAGAGTCAATAAGATAGTCTCTCTTTGCTATTCCTTTTTAAATGATTCCTAACGTTGTTGGCTTTTTTGACTGCTGCTGCATATTGAGTGGATGTTTTCAAAGAACTCTATTGTAACTCCCAAGTTCTCTCTCTTCACTGGTAATAGCTAAATTAGTCCCTATAATTTTGTATGAATAGTTGGGATTAAGGATGTTAAATTGTGGTTACCTAGCTAATCCTATAGTCAGGGCTCGCCGAACTGCGGCGAGCCCCACTCGCCAGCCGCACTGTCCGGCGATCTGCGCATGCTGGGCTCTTCTGGGTTGCAATCTACTCGCCACAGGTGAGTAGATTGCATTATTTGTCGAGCCCTGCCTATAGTCAATGCAAGTTGTATCAACTATATAATTAGTCGACAGGCCTGCTCTGCAGAGCCCAGTGGGATAGCTTTAGGAGCTGGCTCAAGCGGGGACTGAGCAGTTCCAGCTCATGATAGTTCCGGGGACACTACCTGCATAGCAGCTCTGCATTTTAAATGTAGCAAGAGCCACTAGGCTCTTTAAAATGCAGAAGCGCAGTATCCTGGACCAGCATGACCTGGGACTGCTCGGTACTGACTTGTGCTGAGTCCAGCAACAGCCCCTATCCGTAGGGGGGCAGCTCCTTGCTGGGACCCCTGTGGACAGGGTCTGCTTTGCAGCAGCCTTCCCTATCCCTCCCCCTGCTGCCTCTGATTTTAAGCCAGCTCCCCCCAGCACTGGCTTCTGATCCCCCCCCATGCTGTCTCTCTCTAATAGGCAGAAAGGGGGGGAAGCGACTAGTCGCGTCACTACTCAACTGTCCGATAAGCTTATGCTTGTTGGATAGTCGGTTAGTAGCTTACATCCCTAGTTGGGATTATTTTCCCCAATATGCATTACTTTGCATTTATCAACATTGGCTTTCTTTGATAGGCCATCACGCCTTGTGGATAACGGAGAAGTGGTGGACGTGGTGTAACTAGACTTAGGAGGTTGTGGAATTTCCATCACTGGAGCTATTTAAGAGCAGGTTGGATAGGCACCTTGGATGGTGCTTGGTCCTGCAGTGAGAGCAGGGGACTGGATTGGATGATCTCTCGAGATCCCTTCAGGTTCTAGTATTTTATGATTCTATGATGAAAATTAGTTTGCCATTTTGTTGCCCAATCACCTAGTTTTGTGAGGTCATTTTGAAGCTCTTCACAGTCTGCTTTGTTCTTAACTATATTGAGCAGTTTTGTATCATCTGCTATTTTTGCCACGTCACTGTTTACCCCTTTCTCCAGATCATTTATGAATAGATTGAATAGGATTGGTCCCAGTGGACTCTTGGGGAAAACCACTAGTTACCTCTCTCCATTCTGAAAACTGACCATTTTTCCTTCCCTTTGTTTTCTGTCTTTAATCAGTTATCAGTCCATGAGAGGCCCTTCCCTCTTCTCTCATGACAATTTACTTAAGAGCCTTTGGTGAGGGACCTTGTCAAAAGCTTTCTGGAAATCTAAGTACACTGTGACCGCAGGATCCCCCTTGTCCACATGCTTTTGACCCCCTCAAAAAGCACTAGTAAGGCATGATTTCCCTTTATAGGAACCATCAAATTATGTTAATCTACCTCAGGGGTGGTGAACCTCAGGCCCCAGCTTGCCTGGATCTGGCCGAAGCTCAGGGCTCCCCCACCTAGCATTGGTGAGTCTGAGCTTTCTGTGGGACTGGAGCACACAAAAGCTACTAGCTTGGGCCCCTTTAGGCTGTGGTGTGCAAGGGGAATATGGGGAGTGTCTTTCTCCTTCTCAGTCAGGGGTCATGTCAGTTAGGTTGGGTTTTGGGGGTTTTCTGGCTTCTCACTTGTGTGTAGCCCCGACTGATTTTTCTGTGGGTCCGCGGCCCCTGACCCAAAAAAGGTTTCCCACCCCAATCTGTTTGTCTGACAATTCTATTCTTTACTTTAGTTTCAACTAATTTGCCCGGTAATGACATCAGATTTACTAGACTGTAATTGCCAGGATCACCTCTAGAGCCCTTTTTAAAGATTGGCATCATATTAGCTATCTTTCAGTCATTATGTACAGAAGCTAATTTAAAGAATAGGTTACAAACCATAGTTAATAGTTCCACTATTTCTCATTTGGGTTCTTTCAGAACTCTTGGGTGAAAGCCATCTGGTCCTGGTGACTTGTAACTGTTAAGTTTATCAATTTGTTCCAAAAACTCTTCTGACACCTCAATCTGGGACAAGTCCTCTGATTTGTCACCTAAAAAGAATGACTCAGGTTTGGGAAGCTCCCTAGCATCCTCTGCCATGAAGACTGAAGCAAAAATTCATTTAGTTTCTCCGCAATGACCTTATCATCTTTGAGTGCTCCTTTAGCATCTTGATCGTCCTGTGGTCCCTCTGTGTATCAGGCTTTCTCCTTCCGGTGTTCTTGAAAACATTTTGCTATTACTTTTTGAGTTTTTGGCTAGCTATTCTTCAGGCTCCTTTTTGGCTTTCCTTATATTTTTACATTTAATTTGACAGAGTTTATGCTCCTTTTTATTTTCCTGACTAGGATTTAACTTCCACTTTTTTTACCTCTCACTGCTTCTTTTACTTGGTTGTTAAGCCATGGTGGCATTTTTTTTGTTCTCTTACTGGATATTTTTTTTGGGGATATACATTTCTATTGGGCTTCTATTATGGTGTCTTTGAAAAGTTTCCATGCAGCTTGCAGGGATTTTACTTTTGTCATTGTACCTTTTAATTTCTGTTTAACTATTCTCATTTTTGTGTAATTCCCCATTCTGAAATTAAATGCCACAATGTTGGGCCTCTGTGGTGTTTTTTTCAGCACAGGGATGTTAAATTTTATTACATTATGGTTGCTATTTCCAAGCGGTCCAGTTATGTTTACCTCTTGGACCAGATCTTGTGCTCCATTTAGGATTAAATCAAGAATAGCCTCTCCCCTTGTGGGTTCCAGAACTAGCTGCGCCAAGAAACAATCATTTGAGGTGTCAAGAAATTTTATCTCTGCATCCCGTGTTGAGGTGATCTGTAGCCAGTCAATATGGGGATAATTGAAATCCCCCACTAAATAATTATTGAGTTTTTTATATTTATAGCTTCTCTAATCTCCCTTGGAAATGCTTAAATCACTATCACTGTCCTGGTTAGGTGGTTGATAATAAATCCATACTGGTATATTCTTATTAGAGAAAGGAATTGCTATCCATAGAGATTCTGTGGGACATTGTTTCATTTAAGATTTTTACTTCATTTGATTCTACATTTTCTTTTACATATAGTGCCACTCCCCCACTAGCACGACCTGTTCTATCTTTCTGATAGTGTCTACATGTAGAGTTATACTATAGTTCTGTTAGGAAACTTCGATGCATAGACAAGTCCTAAAAGAGTCATCTTTTTTTTTAAGTCTGCCACCTGGTATCACTTCCCCTTTCCTGTCTTTCTGGTGCTTGTATGGCTAAGCAGGTACAGAAAGTATGCTCTTGTACACTGTGAAAATTCTTACCAGAATAGTTTGAAGGCTTGACGTTGACTACATGTTAATCTTTGCTGGACTAATGACTATATGAATCCTTGGGCAACCCTAGCTGGAATTCCTACTCCTTAGGTTGGTGAAAGAAACATTAACCAGGGTGCTGTTTGACTTGGTAGGCAGGTTTCTGCCGGGTGGATAGATTACTAATAATGGATCTGCAACAGAGTCTGATGGCAGCTGCCTGTGTAGGTGAAGAGGTGAGTGAAAACAGGTGTCTGTAACTGTTGTGAGCAGTACTTTATTAAGAAAATGAAGAGTAGATGAAAGAATAGGTTTCCATGAATTCTATCATGTGGATTGGTTATTAACAAGACAATGCTTGAATAGAGGAATGATAGGCTCCTTAGTCTAGGGAGACAGAATTGCAGGGGTAACTCACTTGGCCAAACTTGGTTGTGTTTGTGGTAGAGATGTTAAAAAATGTTTAAAAAAAAAATTAACTGTGTAACTGATCAAAATCTTGTCAATTACACAAATAACCTCTGGGTGTGGCTGCTGGTGTCTCCAACCCCCCGCCGCCGCCAGTTAACTGATTACTAGTAAGCATCAGCCGGTGAGTGTGATGGTTACTGGGTAATTGGTTACCCCCATTTACAGGGCTTGACAAACAGGGGTGAGAGCTACTCGCCAGCCCTGCACCGTGCATGGGCCAAATTGGTGAATGGGGCGCACAGAGCGACTGGCTGAAATCTATTCGCCACAGGCGAGTAGAATCAGCGGTTTGTTGAGCCCTGCCCATTTACATCCCTAGTTTGGAGCATGAGTAAAAAGGCAGGCTGGTGATTTATATTATGCAACTGCATTGACCAAGTCCTGGCTGGGTTGATTGAGTTGGGTTGGTTCTGCTTTGGGCAGGAGGCTGGACTCGATGACTCCTGAGGTCTCCTCCAGCTCTTGGATTCTATGATTCAATTAGTGCATTTACAGTGGGGTTTTTTAAACGTGAATATGATTAGAGTTTAGCTCTATAGAGCTGCTCGAGGACTCTGTGTTTGAGTGGGAACACACATCTGTCGTGGCCTTTCACTATTTGTACAGGTCAGGGAATGGAAACTGAAGGAGGACCTGCACGTTCTGCTTCCTTGTCAAAACAGAATAAAACGTCTTTTAGCATATGGTGAGACGTTCTTTTTCTCATTTCAGTAAAAAGTCCCAGAAGTGGGATGAAATGAATATCCTAGCTACGTACCATCCAGCAGGCAAGGACTATGGTTTAATGAAAATAGATGAACCAAGCACTCCCTACCATAGGTAAACCCACTTAAACGTCTTTTCTTTAATGACCTGAGTATAACAGAATACTTGGTTTTTCCTGAATGGCCTAGCAGCATATGTCAGCTTGTAAATGCCACTTGATCCACTAGCATGGTAGCTGGTGGCATGACAGGCTTTGTGTAGTCCATCTGAACCTTTAAGTGATGGGCTTATGCAATATTAGATGGGAGAACTGTAGGGGTACTTTTGGAAGTACACTCCATGCTTTAAATGCAGGCTTATGTCAGTGGTTCTTACATTGGGGTCCATGGAGCACTAGTGGTCCCTGGATGCCTTGCAGGTGGGCTGTGGCTCCAGCTCGGCTCCTTTCTCCCCCTGCAGTGGGGAGCCTGCACTGTTGCTCCAGCCTCATGCCCCCTCATAAGGTTGGAGCACCAGCACCAGCTTCCTGATGGGGATGGGCGTAGAAAGTCCCGAGTCTCCCTGCTGGATCCGGCTTATGTGGAAGAAGTGGGGCCAGAAGTGGCTCTGTGTGCTGCTGGGAGAACAGCAGTGCATGGGCGCACTCCCTGGAGGCTTTCTCCTCTACTCCCATTGTCTGGAATCTGGCCAGTGAGAGTGTCAGGATGCTGTGCCTGGGACAGGGAGCCCTGGGAGCAGTGCAGGGTGCAAAAGCAAGTAAGTGTCTCCCTCTCTCAAACACACACACCAAGACGTTGCACCCCCAGGCCTGCTCCTGCACCCTCCCTTCTGGCCAGACTCTGTGCCCTCCCTTGCTCCTGCTCCTGCTCCCACTCCCTGGCCAGACACCCTACTCTCAGCCTGCTCCTGCACTCCACCTCCCACCCAGATCCTACATCCCCATCCATATCCCTCTCCCTGTTCTACACACTGAACCCCTTATTACTGACCCCATCCAAGAGGGGGGGGGCCTATAAAATCCACTCACCTCGGAACCCCAAAAAGAGTTAATTTGGCCTATGGGAAGCCCTGAACCTCAGTCCTCTGGCACTCCAGCCCCATGGGTAGAGGGACAGGGAGGAGTGGGGTCTCTCAGTTGGGGGCTACATCAGTGAGGGTTGGGTTTTTTTGGAGGGGTTATTTTTGCTTCACTTGCAGTGCCCCCAACTGATTTTTCTGTGGTCAGTAGATCCTGACCCAAAAAAGGTTCCCCACCCCTGCCATAAATAAAGACAAAGTTGAAAGATTTTGTGTTGTACATAAATTAATATTTTACTTAGTTTACCAAACTTTATTTTAAATAAACATGAGAAAGTTAAAGTGCTTCGTCTGTTTAATCATTTTGATTAATATTTCCTTTCTTACTATTTAAATTAAACCATTTTCCCTAGCTGCAGTATAGGGATGCAGGCAACTAGTTGACTATCCAATAAGGAAAAGCGGAGGCAGCAAGGGTGGGAGGGGAGCAGGAGCTGGTGCTGGAGGGAGCCAGCTTAAAAATGCCCCCAGCACTGTCTCCATGGGGGGTAGGGAAAACAGGGAAGTAGCAGGGACTGGGCATGAGCCTGGAATCAGCTGATTCCCGGCTTGTGCCCAGTCCCAGATGCTGCACCTCTGCTTTTTTAATGTATTAAGAGCCTACTGGCTCTTAATACATTTAAAAATCAGAAATGCAGCGGAGGGAGGAGAGGTCCGAGGCAAACCGTGACATCTGATTCCTGGCTCATACTGGGTCCCCACTGCTGTGCTTTAGCCTTTTAAATGTATTAAGAGCCAACAGGCTCTTAATACATTTAAAAAGAAGAGCTGCAGTGGAGTTAATTCCTTGGCCAGCAGTTAACCCTGCTGCAGCTCCTCTGCTTAACGGCTAATTGATTAGTTGATTAAACTAAATTTAACATCCCTATTTCAGCACTAGCAAAATGGCTCAGATGTAATTACATAATTAATGTCAAGTTTCCATTAACAGCTAGTGAGCCATAGAAAGGTTTGCGTTGAGCTGGGTGGGCCACAGGCCAAAAAGTTAGGGAATCGCTGGCTTATGCTGAATAGTTTGTACTATTTTTAATAGGAATAAATTGATTTTGAGAAGCTTTGAATGTTTTAAGCTTTACAGTTTTTTTGTAATTCTGTCTAAAGATTACAGCTTTAAACTGTGTGTAACAGGAAACACTATTATTTGCATCAAAATATTTAAACCAGAAAAAGAAAAAACCTGGAATCAAGTATTAAAGAAATAGTTGAACTAAAATAATTTCTGATAATATAGCTTAGTAGTGATCTTTTAGAATTAATTCTTGTGCACTTTTGTCTTTCTAGTATGGTAGGAGAGGATGATGAAGATGCAGTGAGTGATTCAGAATTGAATGAACCCATAACAGCAGATGTGTTAGCTAAAAAGTAAGTGATGGTTGCAGTAGAATGTTAACGAAATTTGAAGATTGTCCGTCTTTACAGTACCTTCTTGGTTTCTGGTAGATGTTACTGTTTTCTGTAAGAGCCAGAAGTTTCCATGAATACTCATGATTAGTAGCAGCATCTAATGTGAGTAGCACTAGTGAAAACAAACTTTCTCAGCTAGAGATGTTAAAATGCATTTGTTTTTGTAAACGTGTAACTGCTGAAATTTTCAGCATTTGCACTTCACACACGAGCTCCCACCTTGTTCAAAGCCCTCTGCTGCTGCTGCCTCTGAGGAGGCAGTGGCTTAAAATCCGACTCTAGGTGCACTCCAGTTTACTCCCCCCTCCCCTGCTGCCTCTGATACACACAGTTCCCCTTCTGCTTTTGTAACTGTGAAGGTTAACCGTGTGCACGGGTACATGTTCACTAGCTCAATTGTAACATGAGATACTAGTGCTAAATATCTTTATTATATATACCAGGAGGGTTTTTTAGGTATACTGTGACAAAATTCCTAATTCCTCACAATTGGTCCTGTGCTTCCAGGGAAGCACCTCTCCCTGTCTGGGGAAAACAGCAACTCCCTGTCTAATTGCTCGCCTCAATGGCTCACTACAGTTTCCTAACCCCTTTACTTCAGGGGCAAGCCACAGTCCGATTTACCTACTCTCAGGCTGTGTCCAGACTCAGGGTTTTTTTTTGAAAAAAGTAGCCTTTTTTCGAAAAAACTTCACCTGCGTCTAGACTGCAGCCGCGTTCTTTCGAAATTAAATCGAAAGAATGCGGCTTTTCTTTCGACGGTGGTAAACCTAATTCCACGAGGAAGAACGCTTTCTTTCGAAAGAAGGCGTTCTTGAAAGCAAACAGGCTTTTTAGAAAGAGAGCATCCAGACTCACTGGGTGCTTCCTTTCGAAAAAGCGGCTTGCTTTTTCGAAATTCCGCGTGCAGTCTAGACGCTCTCTTTCGAAAGAGGCTCTTTCGAAAGTATCTTTCGAAAGAGGCTTGCAGTCTAGACATAGCCTCAGGGACATACCAAGGGGAAGGAAACAATCTCTTCGTCTCTGGTGTTCTCTCTGGATATGGAGGCAATCACACTGAATTTCTTAACTCAGTCTTTCCCCTTCTATCAGGGGTTTACTTCCCTCAAACTTTTGGGGCCTGAAAAGGCTGTTTCCTGGGCAGGGCTTTTCTTGCCCTTTGTCTGTACCTGTAGAGGTTCCTCCTGGTATGTGACAGTATCTTTACTATTTCTGCTCTCCTGCACCATGCCCTCCTCCCACAACTCTTGAACTGACTGAAGGGCATGCTTTTAGCCAGTCCTTGATTGGCTCCAGGTGTCCCAATAAACCTGTCCCAACTCCTTCTAGCAGATTGTTGATGGCCTCCAGGTATTTTAATTACCATGAAGTACCTTGTTTGGTTACCAAGGAGACAGGGGCTTGTTTAATATACCCTGCTTTCTGTTACTTCCTTGTAGCCAGCCTGACCGCATCACAATATATACAGGCTAAGTACTTAATTGTGAGCCATTGATATGCTGCTTCAGCACTTCTTCCTGTGCCTTTTGGTTAGGTTAGCAGTGGCAGCTGAAGGTAAAGGACCCAGGATTCTAGCTCAAGAAGTGTACAGCGAGGATGAGGATGATGATGAAGAGTTAACACCTGAAGAACGGGGTAGGTTTTATTTTTTCTGCTAAATTCTGAGTAGTTAGAAGGATGCTGTGATCTAAAACTGGAGAAACAGTCTTTCTAGAGGTGACTTGGATTCCTTATTGCCTTTGATACTTCCAAGTTTGGTTAGATTGAATTGCATCCATTATACTAGTCTGAGAGCAAGTTCATAAGGATGAGACTCTCTTGTTTCAAAGGAGCTCTTATTGTAGGATGAGTCCATGGGAGTAGTTTCCAAAAGTGCTTGTTTATTGAGCCACAGATGGTTCTGTTTTAGAAGGTTACCACTTAATCAGCACACCTTTCAGTTGGACTTTGTTAGGGCTTGTCAAGTGATTAAAAAAAGTGATTAATCTCAACATTAAAAGTTTGTGATTAATCACACTGTTAATAATAGAATACCATTTATTTAAATATTTGTGGATGTTTTTCACATTTTTAAGATATTTCTGTTACAATACAATGCGTACAGAGCTCACTTATTTTTCATTACAGATATTTGTAATTAAAGCTTATTAATCAAGTTTGGTTAGTTCAACTGTGGTTTACAGCCCTACACTGAATTACAAATAACTGTCTCTTGCTAGCTGTGTATCACTTCTGCCTCTTAATGGGCAGGAAAAGCACCTATACTTTCTAGCCAATGTAATTCTATGAATCAGCTGGGAGAGGAGCTAGCAGGCTATTCATAGTGATCCCTAAATAGGATCTCTCAGTACAGCTTCAAAGCAGACACTACTCTGAATTAATTTGGCTTATAGCATTTTAACAAAATAGTAAAGCAATGAAACATCTTGGGGTACAAACCCGGGTGTTGATTGTAGAGAGATACAGGTTGGGCTTCCCTGGTCCCAACAAGGGAGTTTGCTGGACAGGGGAAGTTAGGCCTTGGACTCTCCAGGGGCTCTCCTCCTGGCTGTGGCCCTGGCCAGTGCATTGCTCCCAGCCTACTGGTGAGGCTCCTCTCTGGGCTGCCGGCCCGTCTCCTGGCTGGCGGGTCTCTTTTCTGGACCCACTGACCCTGTGGGCTGCCAGCTGCTGGCAACCTCGCTGGCTGGGGCTCTCTGGTCCTGTTAGACCACAGATGTTGCTGGACCAGAGTGTCCCGGACCACAGAGGGTCAACCTGTACTGCTGTTTCTTGTTTTTTCTGGTTCCACACTGCATGTCCAAAAATGAAACTTAACGTTCAGATTCTAACAAGGAAATTGAAGCTGTGCATGAGACTGTCAAGAAGTAAAGATTAATATGATTGTGGTGAATTGCCATAACCTAAGCCAATATCTATTTTATAGGAAAAATGTAGGATGTGAGTTTCTGGGGCTAGGATCTTAGGTGGGTGTGTGGAAAGAGCTTTTCTTCTCCATTTGGTAAAACGGTTCCTGGTGGCTGACTCTTGGCAGTTAGCAGGCAAGCAAGTTAAGCCAGCTGTAGGGCTTGATCTGCTAGACTCTGCAGTGATTTGTTCAAGTTGTCCATAGGACTAAGATGAGGCTAGTCTTAAATTGCTGAACAGGAAGGCACTACGCCTTTTAATTCACTGAATGAAACATTCCCATATGTTTTTATTTGGTCCATGTCAAGTCACATGTGTTTGGTGAGCACAACTCAGTCTTATAAAACACCCTCAGTACAGCCAGATTTCCTTCTTTTCCTTCTTCCTTATTAGTATCACCTCTACCAAACATAAGTGTTTACAGATAATTAAGTAGCAACAAATCTAATTCTTAAATTGTTTTCCCCATGTGTCCTGGTGCTGTATCTCTAAATCTTCCCAAAACAGATGATCCCCTAGCAAAGGTATGTGAGGAGTAAGTTGTGCCCCACTCCTCTGAGATTTATTTTCACTTGGAAAAATTTTATGGATACCTTATTAATTGTCAGTTTGATAGCATCCTTCCATAAAGTACTTTAAACTAATTACTTAAAGCAAAACATACAATAACTTACATGACACAAAGATTGCATCCGCTCCAGGAGAGGCAACTCCTATCTCGCAAACAGTACAATGTTGGAATCATTCCAAAGAACTAATGTAAAAATATATCTGTGTAAGGGATGTGAAGGACTAGTCAACTATAAGATAAGCAAATGCTCATCGGATAGTCGACAGGCTAGTTGACTAGTTCCTCCCCCCCCCCCCCCCTTCCCTGCCTCTATCAGAAAGAGGCAGCAAGGGTGGGGGAAGAGGAAGGGGTACTTCAAAGTGGCAGCACCATGTGGAGCCTGGGGTCAGGCTCCGGGCTTCATGCAGCACTACCACTTTGAAACACCGCATGCAGCCCAGAGCTAGCTGGGTTGTCCCCAGGCTGCACACAGCATTTCAAAGCTGCAGCGCCACGTGGAGCCCGAGATCACCTGGGGACTCCCCTGCTGACTCCGGGCTCTGTGCGGTGCTGACGCTTTGAAACGTTTGAAACCTGACGTTGGGCTCCCCATAGCGTTTAGAAGTGACAGCGCCACACAGAGCCTAGGGTCAATCCCCAGCTGACCCTGGGCTCCATGCGGTGCTTTCACATTTAAAGTGTAACAACAGCCTTAGGGCTACACCTCAAAGGCGGAAGCGCCCTATCGACTAATCGAATAGTCGATGCACAATGCTTCAGCTATTTGATAGTCAATTACTTGATATTTAACATCCCTAATCTGTGTGTTGAACATGGTTTTTCCCACTCTTTCTACAGAAAAAAGGAAGCAGTTTGAAATGAAGAGAAAAATGCACTACAATGAAGGACGAAATATTAAATTGGCAAGGCAGCTAATGGCAAAAGAACTACATGGTGAGGCGGAAGATGAGGATGATGAAGATGAGGAGATGCATGATGCTGTAGAAGTAGAAAACATGAATACAGAAACCCCTGAACCTGGTAAGCAGCTATTGGTCAAAGGCATGTTTAAACATGGTGGTTCTTTGAACTGATAAAAGTGCTAAAAAGCAAAGCAGTTTATCTTTCTCTCCCACTCCTTATGTAGCCCCAAAGGCAGAGAGTATCCCTTTCCCTATGTTGAATTTAAATAGCATTCATCATTGTTGTGTCTAGGCATCACCTTGACACCTAGTTCTTAGCTTTGGACGTGTCAGAGGGATAGCTGTGTCATTCTGTAACTTTAAAAACAAGTAGTAACTTATGTTATTTCGAAATAGTGTGGGTCTACATAGCAAGCCTGTTGTTTTGAAATGAGGCTTTTTACTTCGACTTCTGTAACCCTGATTTCATGAGGAATAAGGGAAGTCAAAGGAAGAGTGTTCCTCCTTCGACTTCCTGCTGTGTAGACAGCGTCAAAAGCTGAGTTAAGCTACTTCGACATCAGCTATGCAGTTAACATAGCTGAAGTTGTGTAGATTAACTCTACTTTAGCCAGCAGTGTGGACATACCCTTAGTTGCCACGGGGCTACTCATTTCTTAGCTTTGGAAATGCACCACATTGGTAGTGTTGGCCCATACCCAGCGGTTCTGCTTCGTGGTGACGCAATGGATAAGGAAACCCCTGTCTTTCAAAGACTTCAGAAGTTCTCTCTCACCAGTCATACTTCCACTGAATAAACAGAATCTTGTTGCAGCAGATGCCAGAACTTTTATTGAGGTGAGAGCAAGCCCTGTAGTGATACCTGAAATAAACACAGCATGCAGGAGTGCCTCTGTGCTTGTTTGCCACTCTGCTGCCATACCGCCTTGTGGCCTGGAGCCACCCCGCATAAATGCTATAGGGTGGTAGAGCAGAGCCAAAATCTTCCACTTACAGTTGTGCAACTGTTCAGCTAAGCTGCTAGGACATTGGTCTGTGTCTTTATTTTATAAAATGGCGTGTTTCTGTCTGAGGGGCAGGTGTATTAGTCTGTAGCAAGTAGTTGTCCAGTGCCTAGAGACAAACAAAACTTGTAGCTGTTTTGTATCTGCACTGAGGAGCCCAGCCTCCTTGCCATCACACCTGCTGGAAGAGTGCTGTGATTTCTAGTTGGTGGTTGTTCATGGAATCTGTTTCAAGTCTCCAGTCTTTGTATCAGCTTCTCGCTAGCAATTTTCTATAAATGTGAAATTTCATACCACCTCAAGCTGTTGGGGTGAGAGAGAGCGCATGTTTTCTCTTTCCATCTCTAAGCTTCTTGTCTGCAATACTGTACTCTTCTGTTCCTTCCCCAAGTTGTATTTGGGGTGTCCTCCCTATTAAGAATGATTGTGTCTACTTCTGCTGAAGCTTAGCTCTTTGAAACACTTGTAGGCATCATGAAATTGATGTGAGAGCACCACTGACATTAAGAAAAATGAACAAGACTGTAGTAGCCATGACTCTGAAATCTTAATGTTGCTGAGCTGCTGCTGCTTGGCAAGCTGTAGCAGAAATATCCGAGCAGCTTACAGACTAGAAGATCCTATGTTTACATCTAGTTCATATTTGGAAGTTTTTCTTCACAGCTGTAGAGACTAAGGGTGTTAAAATGGGATTATCTGCCTAATCATTTAGTCAATACAATTAGTATCGACTGTATGATCAGTCGATAAGTGCCACTGTGCAGAGTCGCAGGGGGGGTAGCTCCTGGAGCCGACTTTAGTCAGGAATGAACCGTCCTGGCCCGTGCCAGCTCTGGAACCGCCACTGTGCTGTGGCTCTGTATTTTAAATGTAGTAACTTAGAACCGCAGGACTCTTACTACATTTAAAATGCAGAAATGCAGCAATCAGCGCTTACCATGACTGCTCGGTCCTGGCTCACGCTGAATCGAGCAGCTCCTTTTCTCAGCGGACAGTCCTGGCCACCACAAACAGGGGTTGCTTTGTGGCAACAGCCCCTGTCCACGGGGGGGGGGGGGCGGCTTGCCGCTGGGACCCCTACAGACAGGGGCTGCTTCGCAGCAGTGTCCCCTATCCCTGCTCTGCTGCCTCTGATAGGCAGGCGACACCCTGGAGATAGTGCTGTGCGGGGGGGGGAGCCGGCAGAGACAGGCTTTTAAACTGGCTCGCCCCAGCACCAGTTCCTGTCTCTCTCCCACCTTCCTCCAGTCTCTTATAAAGGCAGCGGGGAAGGGGGGGTGGGTGCCCCCGCAGAGAGCACGGGGTGAGCGAGGATTGCTTGAGTCCTCGCTTGTCCCATGCTCCCTGCAGCGCTTCTGCTTCTGAAATGTACAAGATCCCCAGAGGGCTTTTGTATGTTTCAAAAGCAGAAACGCCCAAGGGGGACTGAACAGTCCCTGCTTGCACCATTTCCCCGCTGTGCCTCTGCCTCCCCTGCCCCCTGCAGAGTTGGTGCTGGGGGGAACTGGCTTTAACACCTGCTCTTGCTCCCCGCCCCTTGCAGCCTCTGTCTGATAGAAGCAGCAAGGAGGGAGGGAAGTGACTATCCGATAGCTGACTAGTCGCTAACACCCCGCGTATGAACTAGAGTCTTGTGTAAAATGAGAAATTCCATGGAAATGGTCTAGGCTCCCAGCTGCTATTTTCAGTTCTTGGCTATAAATCACAGACTTGGTGCTGCTATTATCCGCATCCCAGGGTGCACAGAATTCATCTGCCCAGCATAGCTTCCTATTTTGATGACAGAAAAATCCTTGTGGCCAAGTACTGCAGTTCCACGTTTTGCCCACTAGAGGCTGCTATAGCACCAAAATAGCCAACTGTGAGCAAAAAGCAGAACTGCTGCACCTTGGGCAAGAATATATTTTACTCAGGAAAAAGAAAATTCTGTGCATGCTCAGTGCTGCAGAATTCCAGGAGTAGAAGTTTATCATAACATCCTGTTCAGGGACTGTTAGGCCAGAATGGGCCACACAGGACTCCTGTGGGGTCACAGATTGGGATTCAAAATGGCTAGTGGGGGGCATGGACTGGAATGTGCTCTCAGGAGCTACTGGGGCGGTAGCTTTGAGCCTGGCGTTGATGGAGAAAGGCTTCAGGACCCATGGGCATGTGGGAACTGTGGGGACAGGGGCAGATGAGCCTGACTGGGAGAATCTTGGGGTCAGCCAGAGTTTCATGGGGGAGACTTCCCAACTTCCGACCAGTCTACTCCCCCATCCAGACCAATGGCTTCCAGGATCACGCAGGCTTTTTTGTTATCCCTAAGTCTCCCAAGCTTTTCACTGCTTCTGACAGGTGCAGGAAATACAATTCTGTATCATGATTTAAACAAATTACTCAACGTTCTGTATTAATATGCCTAGGAAAGAATTCTAGGTTGTCAAAAACAGTACCAGGATCTTTATTTTTTGGATCTGTATAGTTATAGACACCCTTCCTGAAAGATATTTTGAAATAATTGAAACTGGCATGATTTATATTGTGTTGTTTTGACAAAATAGAGAATTTTGCAGAATTTTCAAATATCGTGTATAGAATTGAATACAGTGGGTATTACCGGAGGGCGGGGGGGTGGAGGCTAACGCTCACAATAATTGCTCCTGCGGAGTCGTCTTATATCTTTCCCAGACCCACTGTTTGTTTAGCTTTCGATGGTAATACATAATCCTAAGCCATATAATGGCATTTACTAGAGCTTCACTCTCTAGGGGAAAGGACGACTCCAGTAGGCATCTTTGCGGCCTTTCTGCATGGCTTCAAGATAGCACCACCTTTCTGCTCCCTGCTATAGAGCAGGGAGGCGGCTCCGCTCCCCAGCTGCATTCTCCCAGGGAAAGAAGAGCACACCTTTGCAGCATTTTTACATCTCTGCTGTTTGACGTCACTTCATTCTGCTTCATAGTCCGACTTCTGAGCTGCACCCGGTAATTATCCATTCTTGAGTGACTGCTCATGCCCGACTAATTGTACATTTTTCTAACGCTTTATTTACCAGTCCACCAGTCCCAGTAACTCTCCTAATTAGTTCAGCTTGAGTTTTCCCAACCTAACGGATTCCTTTTAGTGGACTTGTTGCTTAACGTCCTGCCGTTAATTTTTTCATTTGTATCACTTGGCCTAATTGGTGAAATAGTTCACCACCTTTTAATCTCTAAGTAATAGGTGACTATCTGGTTCACTTTTGCTCCATTTGCCTAATTTATTTTTCTTTTGAAAATCCAATAACTCTCCAGTTTTATCTTCACTGGTGGACTGAAAGCTCTTCTTTGAGCAATTGATTATACATACAGTGTTTGGGGCCAGGAATGATAAAAGGGGAATGAACTTTAAGCAAACCTGCATTAGTAAACGTCTTGTCCATATCTTCAATTCCTACCATCCTTCGGAACGTCATCTGCAATTAGGCTAATGCTAAGAGAACGGATAGCCCTCAGTGAGGCTTACAGATGTAATAGGCCAATAGGTGGGCAACAACTGTTGGTGGTTCTTCAGGTGATTGTGCACATATACATTCAACTGACAGTAAACACTCACTGTATTTGAGTTGGTGACTTTTCCAGCAGTGCCATGCGGTGGTGCAGGTGCCAAAACTCTCTTCTTGTGTTGAGCTGAGGACATAGAAGAGCATTGTCACCACTTCTCTTGGTTCCCTCTTACTGCCTGTGGTGAGAGTTGGAGCTCCCTGCACTATTCAGCTTTGGTTCACCAGCTTCTCTAAAGAGTTTTCTCACTGTCTAGAGTTCCACTTAATTTTCATATAGTTTAGGAGAGTTAGATTGTATGTTGTTACGAGAATTGATGGATTTAATATTAAGAAATACCCAGGGTTTAAGCAGTGTGCCACATGCCAGACTGTGACCCCTGTCACAGGTAGCACAAAATCTGCTTAATTTATTTAGGTGGGGACCTGAGAGGCATTTAGTGTGTATCTTCTTCAGTATCACAACAAAGAAACAGGTGGTTTTCTGAATTGGACCTTGACCACAAGAGGACGGACTCTCCAGCTACAAAAAGTGCCCTGACTTTGAGACAGACAGACATGCCACTCCTCGTCCACAGTGATTTCCTCCAAGTGCTCTAAGCTTCTGTCATCTGGGTCTCAGGGATGTTCAAAATCCCACTCTATTTGCCTCAGAAAAGGGCTTCCAGTAAATCCTCTGGTGAGTTGGAGTCTGGCTGCTGACACCCGTGTTCACCGGAACCATCAAGATTGGTATCTCCACTATTGTCATTGACTCTGATGTTGTTGGCCCACATGGCTGAACAGTTACCTCTGGTGCAGTCAACTTTGGGGTCCTTCATTGCAGTGGTGGACCCTCTTATGTTTGCAGGTACCACTCTTCCTTGTTACAGCATCCATCACCAGTGGTGTCCATGTCTGCACAATCAACATGCATCAGCATGGCTCCATCTCTTGCACTGGCTTCTTCGTTTTCTGTCAGCACCACTGACACCAGTATACCTGACTACATTTCAGGTGCCTCGCTCACTTCTGTGAGCTCCCTTGGGCATTTCCTCTTGTCAGTCATTAGGGTGACACCTAAGACCTTCATGAACACTAGCTAGGACTGCTGTTCTATCTACTGAGGAGAGCTATTTCTTTTCTCTTCAGGGATACCAAAACTAAAAGTTATGATTGGCTTTTTTCAAGGAGGCCCCGGGTGGCACACACCACTTTGGGCCATATGAAGAGTGGAATATCTCCAAGGGAGTAACCTTACTGGGCATCTCGAACTAGTGCTATAGGGTCTAGGAGGTTGCTTTCGTTCATACCAGGGACCCTGAAGGAAGCCCCTTCTATGGGCCCATGGCTGCTTCCCTTGTTGTAGTCTACAGAAGAGAGAGCAATAATGAAGGAACCTAGCTGATCTATTCCTGCTCCAAATATTTTATCTTTTCCAGGTGAGGCTGTCGCCCAGGAATCAACATCTGCTTCTTTTCTGCGGGATGTTAGTGTTCCAAACCCTTGTGAGAAGGGTGGCCACATCTCTGGGAGTGCAGGCAGAGCTAGCACAAGATAATTGACACCTGTGCCCAGAGAGGGGCCACCCTTTCCATTAATGAAGCCTTGCTGGGCCTGGCCAACACCTTCCAACATTCTGCCTGTAGTAATACCGACACGGAGAAAGATTCAGGGAATGTTGTTTGATAAATAGATTCCTTACTAAGCATATTAATACAGAGCTTTGAGTACTCTATTGAAACGGCAATACAGAACCGTATTTCCTGCCCTCTTCCTCCTCCTCCCCCCACCGGCTCGCAAGCCATGCAAAGGCTTGGGGGAGTCCAGGGTATTGGAGGAGCGGAGGGAGAGGGAGAGGGAAGGAGCCTGGGAGTGTACCTGAAGGCTGTTGGGCGTGGGTGAGAAATACTGAACAGGTTTCCGGGGGAGGAGCAGGGAAGGGTTCTTATGAAGCATTCCCCACGCAGACCCAGGCTGCCCCCTAGCCTCTCATATTCAATCAGGCACATCTGCCCTATCCCCATGTGTCCCTTCACCCCCACTCTTACACCTCCCCCCCCATTTCACGTGTCCCTGCACTCCCTCCCCCATCCCAATGTGTATCTGAGCCACTGCCTTCCCCCGTGGCCCTGTACCCCTCCTTCATCCCTGTGTTTGTGTTTGCACTGAGCCCCCTCTTTGCATCATCCAGGTATCCGTGAGACACCATTCAGATGCTTCCCCTGTCTTGTGTCTAAGCTCCCATCCAGCTATCCCCTTTACATAAGAACAGCCGTGCTGGGTCAGACCAAAGGTCCATCTAGCCCAGTATCCTGTCTGCCGACAGTGGCCAGCACCAGGTGCCCCAGAGAGGGTGGACCGAAGACAATGATCAAGCGATTTGTCTCCTGCCATCCCTCTCCAGCCTCTGACAAACAGAGGCCAAGGACACCATTTCATCCCCTGGCTAATAGCCTTTTATGGACCTAACCTCCATGAAATTATCTAGCTTCTCTTTAAACTCTATTATAGTCCTAGCCTTCACAGCCTCCTCTGGCAAGGAGTTCCACAGGTTGACTACACGCTGTGTGAAGAAGAACTTTCTTTTATTAGTTTTAAACCTGCTACCCATTAATTTCATTTGGTGTCCTCTAGTTCTTCTATTTAGGGAACTAATAAATAACTTTTCTTTATCCGCCCTCTCCACACCACTCATGATTTTATATACTTCTATCATATCCCCCCTCAGTCTCCTCTTTTCTAAACTGAAAAGTTCCAGTCGCTTTAACCTCTCCTTATATAGGACCCGTTCCAAACCTTTAATCATTTTAGTTGCCCTTTTCTGAACCCTTTCCAAGGCCAAAATATCTTTTTTGAGGTGAGGAGACCACATCTGTACACAGTATTCAAGATGGGGCGTACCATAGTTTTATACAGGGGCAGTAAGATATTCTGGGTATTATTTTCTATCCCTTTCTTAATAATTCCTAGCATCCCATTTGCCTTTTTGACCACCACTGCACACTGTGTGGAAGTTCTCAGAGAACTGTCCACGATAACTCCAAGATCTCTTTCCTGAGTTGTCGTAGCCAAATTAGCCCCCACTTTGCCTCCACTGCAGTCTGAGCCTCGCTACTTCCTTTCTTGACCTAGCCCAAACCAGCAGGGTGCAGCGGGAAGGTTCGACTTCTCTTCTCTGTCAGGAGCTTGGCCTGTTCCTGCTCAAGATAGCTACTCTGGTCAGTGCCACAGTGGCTGCTGGTGGGCAGCAATTTCTAGCAGAAGTTATTTTCTGCAGGGGGAAAATGCACTGTGCATGAATTATGTGCATGCTCAGTAGTGCATACTGGTCATGAGACAACTGCTTTCTTGTGTAGGCCAGAACTTGAATGTAGACAACGTTGCAATCAGCCCAGAGCAGTCCTTCACACTCCAGCCTCCATAGCTTATCTTGTGTGGACAAGGTTCAGTCCATAGTGTCTGCCTGGAAATCGTAAATCCCGTTCGTGGACAACAGCTTGCTTATGCCTACAGCTACCTGCCTTTCTGTTTTATCCGGACAATAATGTGCGTTATTTTTGTCTGCATTGCCAGAAGGTGAGGAAAGTATATTGCCAGACCCAAGCTCCGTCCCCATCCTGCTTAGTGAAGAGTGTCTCTTGTCAGTTGCAAGCAGTGTGAGGGCTCATGCACTGTGTGGCAGAGGTGACGGTAGTCACTCTAGTTCAGTAGCAGCCAGACCACCTAATGTGCATTTGTGCCTTCCCATTCTGTTCTTCGCTGTGCATTTGTGGGGCAACTGTTGATAAAATATTTCCATTCTGGCCTTAGGTGAGCTTGCTTTGCGTCCGGTATCTGATTACCCTTCTCAAGGTTTTTAAGTGAAAACCCTGGTATTAAAGTTGTCGTGTAGTCTTATCTCTGGGTTATATACTGCATTGCTTCAGTTCCTTCTGAATTGCCCTATTTACTCAGTATTTCTGTTTGCCGATTAAGGTCCTCAGACGAGGTAAGTGTTTGTGGATCTCAGTAGACTTGTGTCTGCTTCCAGAGACAAATCCCTTCTGTGGGAGAGAGTGTCTGCCGCATGGACTGTTACCCACAGAGTGGTTTATAGATGGTCACTTTTAATGCTTGTTTGGGTTCTCATCAGGACGCTGCTGCTGAAGGTTTTTTATCCTTTTGTGAGGCTCTGATAGTTCCTACTGAGGGAAATGTTAAGTATGCGCAGAATCCAGTGGGGGCATGTTTTTGTGTAATTCTCATCCAAAATGGGTCTTATCCCTCCCCATAATTATCAGTAAAAGATGTTCCAAGGAGACCAGTTTTCCAGCTGGAAAGGGGAATACTGATTCATTGTAACAACTGCCTTAGATTCTTCATACAGAAGGTGCTAACTGAGCCAGGTCATGGTCACTTTCTCCTCTCAGGTTATAATTAGAGAGGGTATAAAACATACATTATTGCCTTTGTCCTATTTCCCATTATTCTGTTAAGATTCTTCTGTTGCATCCATCTTATACTGCAACTGAGCTCAGTCTTGATTCTCCCTCTCCCCACTCTCTTTAAGGGAAGTATTAGTAAGAACATAAGAGCAGCCAGACTGGGTCAGATCAAAGATCCATCTAGCCCAGTGTCCTATTCGACAGTGGCCAATGCCAGGTGCTTCAGAAAGAATGTACTGAACAGGTAATCTCCAAGTGATCCAGCACCCATTCCCAGCTTCTGAGAAACAGAGGCTAGGGACGTCATTCCTACCCCTCCTGGCTAAAAGCTCGACAAATAGTACAATCTACTCACCACCGGTGAGTAGATTGTAACCCGGAAGAGCTGGGCTTGGGTGATCTGCGCATGTGCAGAACGATCGCATGCGCAAATCGCCGGACAGTGTGGCTGGCGAGCCCTGCTAATAGCCATTGATGGACTTATCCTCTATGAATGTATCAAGTTATTTTTTGAACTCTATTAAAGTCCTGGTCTTCATAACGTCCTCTGGCAAGGAGTTCCACAGGTTGACTGTGTTGCATGAAGAAATACTTCTTTTTGTTTGTTTTAAACTTGCTACCCATTAATTTCCTTTGACTCCTAGTTCTTGTGTTTTAGAAATAAGTAAATGACTGTTCTTTATTTTGTCAGCACTAGTCATGAAAATTGACTGACTACCGAACTTTGCCTTATAGCAGGGCTACTTAACTTTGGAAGTCCAGGGGCCACAATGATACTCACTGCACATGTTGGAGGGCCGCAACTGAAGTGTGGTTGCATATACATGTGAATATATATGCAAATAGCTGCTTTCACGCTGACAAGCATGAATACCAAGATTAAGCCTTAAGCCGTGGTGCCGGACCCAAACGTGGCCAGTGTGAGCCAGTCAGCACCTCTCAGGCTCTGCCCTCAAGGCTAAGCAGCCAGCACTTCCCACAATGCCCCGGTGCTCCCAGCACCTCCTCCCTGGGGGCTAGAAACGCCGACACCCTGTACCTGTCTGTTCCAGCCAGCCCGTCCACTTGCGTCTTTCAGTGCTCACCCAGCCTGGGAGCCGCCTCGCCGCTGTGGAACTTGTTCCCAGTAGAGGTCATGTTCAAAGGATCCCACCTGCGGGCTGCGTGTTGAGCCCCACGTAAACCGAAATCACACCGTGGGCAGCAAACAAATAGGCCATGGGCCACAGGTGGAGTAGCCCTGCCTTATAGTAAGGCGTCGGGGATGGGAGCCTTTCTTTTTGAAGTCATATCTGCTCCACTAATGGATGGAGGATGATATCACTCCCTAATTTGATCATACAAGTCTTTACCCTTGTATCTCAGACTCCTTTGGCATTTGGAGGCAGTTAACAGTGTCCCAATACCTTTTAAATAGGGTTCTTCAAATCAGCTATCGAAGACACGAGTCCTTACTCTTGGTTCTAAGTTTCCTTGTTTATTCTGGCCATTAGACAGTTAATCTTGAACCAATTAATACTTACATAGGACTGCATTCTGCCAAGTTGGTAAGTGAGAAGCATTGTTTTTTGGGATTGGCATAACATCTTTCTTTTATTGCATTGTGTGTGTTTAAGGTAAAAGTTTCTTCTGTAATATTGTATGGACCTGAAGGTTGTGTGTCTGATTCTGAATTCTTTTAAGGAAAATTTTGGATGTGAAGGGTGATGTGCTAGTTTCTTTAATTCAGGTAGCATGTTGAGGCTGAAGTAGCAATTGAGAGCATGTATTGAATATAACTATACTTATGTGACCTTTCACCATAGCACTGTGCTACTTTGTTGCAAAACCCTGTGTTGTAGTGGGTGCACCCAGGATTAAACATTGAGCTAAAAAGTGATGGGCTGAGTCTGAGTCTGGTCTTACATTGCAGTGTAGAAATACCCCCAGTCAAGTGTGCCTCAGGGTTGCCAGATGTTACTTCAGGTCTTTGAGGCAACAAAGGGAGGACTTGTGAATGCTTGTGATTCAAGCCATGAATATTCAAACAGTTTCCTAATCTCTCTTTTTTTCTGTTACACAGCACATACTACTAGTGACCAGCTGGAGAACAGAGTGCACAGCGTGGAAGAGATTTGTCCAGAACTGTAACTGCTTGTCAAAGATAAAAACTTATCCAGTGCTACATGGTTTTGCGACTCTTAAGTATTGAGAAGCATATCAGTTATAGTGATGTATTGCCAAGAATGTTAATAACTTTAGAGACTCCTATATTAGGCAGAAAAGCTGCCTAACCTGGTTATTCTTGTGCCTAGAATTTCATGGAGAGTACGGCTTCATAATCCACCCAGCCAGAAAGGCATTCCCTGTATATACGAGACACATTAACTTGCATAGCATATTGTCACACTAATGCTTTAAAACATACAAAAAAACAGTATCTTTGGGTTTGTTGATTATTTATTTGACACTGTTCTAGATGTGGTATTTCTTGTAGTAGAAGGGTTTTGGAATTAAAGAGCCAAACAGAATAGCAAACAGGTTGATGCTACTATCAGGTAAATTTAGCAGTTGAAAAAGGGATTATTTTAGTAGTGTAACTTGTAAATTTTTTCTGACATGATAGATGTCAGTATGTCATGATTCCTATTTTCTCAATCTTTATAAGAGAAGAACGGTATTATTTTTGTGGTTTAAAAATAAATCTGTTTGGATTTGGTTACTAGTTCCTGACTGAGACACCACTGACACCTGGTGGGATATTTATACATTAGAGATGTGCAGACCTAAAGTTCACATCGAATTGTGATAATCTCTTCCCTTGGGGATGGATTGCTTTGGGAACTTCCCTTAACTTTTAAGATCTGAACAAATAAGTTTCTCCCATTTTTTTCCACTTCAGGCCCCCCCATCCATCACTTTCAGCTGATTCCCTTAAGACCTACCTTAGAATCCTTTGCACCTTCTGACTTGCTGTGATATGAACTCATGCTGCTAGCATCTGAGGATAAGTAGTTGTCTGAGCAAATCTACTTCAGTGCTGAGGAGAGTGAATGGCATAGCTCTGTATCATGCCGGCCTTCTCCTCTGGCCAGGTGTAATCCGTGTATTGAAAACCACTCGTATAGAAGTTTTCTGGTCCAGTATAATGTGCAGCAACTGCATTTGTAAGATGAAAGCTATTTGGAAGACTAAAAGGGAGATTGCATCTAATGTATAATTTATGTGCTGTTAACAGTGTGGTTCTGTAGCTGCGATGGAGGAGAGCACTGAACCTGCAGATGACTAAACCTCCCTCTCAAAAGATCTTAACTATGGTGTGAATGTAACAGTGTTCAGGATAGCACTTGGTTTTATTCTGCAAATGAATTACACTTTAAGCTGGGGTTTGGTCATGGAATATTTTGTATTCAATTATGTCTGTTTCTCTTAAATTTGAACTACATTTGAATGGTTGCATAAGTCTTATAATTATGCGGTCCTATTTTAAAATGACTTCCTGTCCACTGTATTTGTGAAGTCTGAATAAAATAATGAAGAAGTTATTTTACAATTATTTTGAACTCATGTGTGAGCTTTTTGAAACACCAGAATGCCATGTTTGTCCCTGGAAGAATAATGTCACAGAGTGTTTCAGGAGACAGTCTTTTGCCAGAAGTGTGGGGGTGAGCCGCACCAGTTAGTGTGTGGATTCCTCAGTCTTTGGTTAGTTTCCCATTTTGTAGATAGAGGTGTTTCCAGGACTTGTAGTATTTAGAGTTTCTTAGTCGCAGGTCCTGGATTTGTGTGATTAGCGGGAATCTCAACTTCATTGATTAATTAAAAAAAAAAAGTCTGACCCTCAAGATTGTGGAGTAAAAACTTGTAATGTGAATTCTAAAGACTTAAACATCAAAAGGAAAACATGATCTCATAATTTTGGTGGAGGCCTGATTTTATTTCTGACTAAAATTCTTTTATCCATTAATTGGAAGGAGAGATTGTACAATGCATCTCTTTTTGCTTGATTATATGAAAAATAAGTGCTTTATTTCCTGCTATTTTTCCAGTCAAGATGTTAGAATTGCAAAAATATTGATTGAAACTTGATTCTGGTCACTTTTGGCTGTGTCCTGAAAGATGCTGGGCTCCCATGAGAGGTGAGGCAATTAATGGGAGCTGACATCCATTGGCTTGATTAATTACTGGAGCTGTAGTGTACATAGCACTCAAGGATTAGACCCTGTCTGGTTTTCTTGACAGAGAAAGAGAAAATAGGAGTTGCTACACATCTGTACCTGTCTGAAGGATGGCATTCTCTTCCTCCTCTTTCCTCCCCCTGCCAAAACAGGAGCCAGCATGTGTGTATTGGAGTTCTTTGCTGTGCTTGTCTTACATTTTCAAATTTATTTTGCTGGTTTGTTAAATACTCAGGGCTGCTCTTTGGATGGGTTGACATTACTTACAAATAAACTGTCCAGTTACAAGGCAAGAGCTAAACATCTGCCGAATGGTGTTGACCCACTCCATCGCAGTAAAGCTCCAGTTTCAATCTTGCATGTGCTGTCACTCAGTGCCAAACATAGCAATTTCTGTAGACTAACTTGGGTCAAAGAGCGAGCAGTTTAACCCACTTGGATCTCTTTTTGCCACCTCCTTTCCTCTTTTAATTTGTACATAATCTGATTTACAGCCAGTGCTCCAAGGAGGTGCTGCTGTTAGTATCCCTAGTGCTACCTGGGAAGGATTTTATTTATGTAAAGACACTGTTGTTTTTCAGTAAATGAAGATAGATTTTAAAAAGAATGTTTTGAATTGCAAATCACAAAACACCAAGTTAGGTTGAGCTGTACGACATGGACGAAGGAGTCGTCTCAAGTTCATGGAGAACCTCTAGCTTCCATCAACTATGAGCAATTTGTTGTTTTTGAGTCCATTGGCCCTGCATCCTATGCGTGATCTTCCTGATACCTCGTTAGAGATGCATTAAATACAACTGGACTATAAATATCTTTTTCTTAAGCGGGTTTTAATTGGTAAAGAAAATACAAGATAGAGGATCATCTTTAGCCCTTGTCAGCACTATAACAATATTATTGTGTGCATCTTTGTTATTTATTGATGGTGGTTGGTTCATTTATTTTGCTTTTGGCATAACATGATGCACGTTAAAAGTCGTTTCAATATGGAAGCTGGGATTAGTTCACTTTGTCCTCACCACTACCTCTAGACATTCTAAAGTTAGATATGTTTGTTTCAAAGCTTGGGATTATTACAGTGCAGTATATAGTTTTTAAAAAAAACTGTACAAGGTGCCACCTGTACTTTGTAAGTGTGCCATATTGAAAAATAGTCCATCTTTTGGGGAAAAGGAGAGGAACAGGAATAAAAGTCTCTGGCTCATCTAGTAGGAAGAAGGTAGTAAGATTGCTTATGGGCTTGTAATAGCATGATGGTTATCAGATGCTGAGTACTGAATGTGATGTATAAAAATGGAGGTAGACTGCTACCACTGTTTCCTTAGAAATTTGGGAATTGAGTTCCTAAGAATCTGTTCTGCAAACTGTGCATGGTAAGTTTTTTACTACATTTGTCTCTTAAGCCTTTTGTTTGTAAAATGAATACAAGATGATGTTGCTTACTGGAGAAATAAGTTTTGGTAAATAAAGTTTATATTATACTCTCATTTGCAAATAGTATCATTTAAATTGTTCATTAAGAAAATTCTTGTGAGTTTAATGTCCTGATGGAATTGTGTATTGAAAACTAAATTTCTTAACATAGCCCATTATCTTGTGTTGAATTAGTTGATTTTTGATCTCTTCCCCAAAATATTCTCAGGTGGTTTTTATAGTTGCTATTTGATAGTAATTTCACAAATTTACTGTCTTTTCTTATCAGATTCTGACTTCAAAGGTTTTTTAAAAGGGGAAATAGGCAGTTTTATATCACAACTGGCTACTGAAGTTAGTGTTAGCGCTCCCCCCGCTCTACAAATGAGGGGTTACTGGGTCCTGCTTTATAATAGCATGGTAGCATCATATTAAAAAACCCTCTATTGATACGGTGTGGCACGGTGTGGCACCAAACCTGGTGGAGTTATGCTCTGTATGGCAGCTTCTCTGCCATCCCAACAGCATGGGAGCATACATACGTACAGCTGCATCTGCCATGCTACTCTATAGCCATCTAGGAGCAGGTGTGGGATCTGCTTGGTTATCCTGTAACTGCTGCTGCCAGCGTGACGGATTGTGCCCTTCTACTGCCATATTGGATTCTGTCCTTAGGCCAGTGGTTCTCAACCTTTTTGATACTGGGGACCAGCAAATCCAGTCACAAACTTTCAGTGGGCTGGTAAAATTGTATTTGCATATTCATTATATAAATGATGCATATGCAAATAAAATATTACTGGTCCACCAAAAGCTCAACCCCCAGTGCCAGTCCTAACTCCAGAGCCCCCCACCCTTCCACTGCTCCCCAGCGCCAGCCCTGACTGCAGAGTCCCCTGCACCCAAGCCCCCTAGTGCCAGCCTCCCACTCTGAGCTACCCAGTGCCAGCCGCCCATCCCAAATGCCTGTGACGTCCTTCACCACCAGACCCCCGTATGAGACCCTTGTTTCCAGTGCCCCACTGCATCCAACCCCTTCAGTGCCAGCCCTCCACCCCTTCGAGTTCTCCATCACCTCCCACTACCACGAGCCTCCTGTTTCCAGAGCCCGACTGCACCCAACCTCCCCCCAGAACCTCCCCCAGTCCCAGCCCCCTGTATTAACCCTGTACCCAGCACTCTCTTGGCATCCATAGCGCCCCCTGCCCCACTGCTAGCTCATCCTCCAGAGTGCAGAGAAGCGCTCTTCTGTGCCTGGGGGAAGACCCAGCCCCTGACCAGTGCTGTTTGGCTGAGAAGCGAGGCAGGACACGCCTCTCCCAACAGCCATGGTGAGAGCGGTGTACCCCAGTTGCAGCCCCCAGAACTGCCATGGCCTGGAGCCGCTGCCTTAGGCTAATCCCTCATCCTTGGTACTTGTGGGGTAAAGCATGTGGCAGAATAGTTTGTCCCATGTGGGTCAGTCCCCCTTGTCACACGGCATGGCCGCAGAAGCTTCTGGAGGGTCTGATACATGCGCATACACCCAGCATACACGTGCGCCATGGGGAGGAAGTGATTCTGAGAAGAAGTGATGCTTGGGCACCAGCAGCTGAAGGAGGAGATGGGGGAATGCTATGACTTTCTGCTCCTGGACACCAGCCAGAGCAGTAGCTGCCCCACACTTCCTGTCCTTTAACCTGGCCCGGGAGCAGGACCTGAGGTGGTAGCCTCCTGTGGGACTGCCCCACTCTCATTATGGCACTGCAGTTTGGGGAGGCAGTGTCCGCTCATGCCCTCCTAACTCTGCCCCTGGGCTCCTCAGGTGGGGGCACTGGGGCTCAGGAACCCCCTGAAACCAGCTCCTGGCCTGCCTGAGGGCTGCTTTAGGAAATCTCATCTGACCTGCATACAGCCCAGGTCATTCAATTTCACCCACACATTGCCGTGTTGAGCCCATAATTTGTTTAGCTAAAGCCTGTTTCAGAAAGGCATCTGGTCCTGATTTGAAGACAGCTAGAGATGAAGAATCCAACCTTTTCCATGCTTGTTTTGTTCCAGTGGTTAGTCACTGTCACTGTGTTGTATTTCTCATTGCAATTTGGCTCCAGTTTCCAGCCCTTGGTTCTTGTTATGACTTACTATGCTAGATTAAAGAACTCTCAATACTCAGACTTTTCCCTGTAAAAGTTGTCACCTCTCGATCGCTGATGAACTGACCAGATGGAGTTCTGTTTCAAATCTTTCCCTGGAAGGCATTTTCTTCATTCTGGAATCATTTTAGTGGCTCTCTTCTGTACCTTCTCCGGTTTTTCAATGTCTTTTCTAAAACACAGACACCGGAACTGCATGCAGCATTCCAGTGTGTCCGCAATGCCTTCTTCCAAGCAAATACCACCCCCATGTTTGTGTGCATCCAAGAATTGCATGAATCCTTTTTGCCATAGCATGACGCTGGCAGTTGATATTCAATTGCTTGTCTGCTGTGACCCCTGAATCCTTTCCAGAATCATTGTGTTCCAGACCTGTGTTCTGCAGTGATTACCTGCATTTCTTGGTCCTAGATGTATAACCTTTCACTTTTTGCTATACTAAAACTCATTTTGTTTGAATGGGCCCATTTTACCAGGCAGTATTGGCCACTCTGCCATTCGTTGGCCATGTCTACACTGGCAGGTGTAAAGTGCTTGCAGTTGCAGTGCTGCTCCCAGAGTGACGCAGGGAAATTTGCTGTTGTGTCCCCACACTGTGCTTCTTGTGATGGCTGCTTTTACCACAGAAGTGAGAGAGAGAGAGAGAGAGAGAGAGCTTTTACTGCAGAAGTGAGAGAGAGAGAGAGAGAGAGTGTGTGTGTGTGTGTGTGTGTGGTGGGGGGAGACAGTTTTGGGGATGTCAGCGTGCTATCTTGTAAGTTTGGACAGGGGAAGGAAACAACCCCTTCTGAGACAGTGGGAGGGGGAACCTTGACATCTCAGCCCCTCTTTGCAGGGCAATCTCTGTCTCTCTCTCATTCACTTACACGCCTGCCTCTGTTTAACAGTATGAGCTTTTCATCTGACTGGTTTGCTCTATCCATGTGCATGCTTATCAGTATGCACAACTGGAAACTGTTTCATACAAAATACTTTGTGTAAGGTGTCATTTGAATAATGGTAATTTACTGAATATGATTTTCCCGCTTGTATGCATGTATCATTCCTGTGTTGGAAGTTAGAAATATGACGTATAAACCTGTATTACTAATATAGGTATGAATGATGAGTGAGGGCCATTAAGGGTATTCAGAAATGTGATGGCTAATAAGGTCATTGATCTGTAAGTGGGCCTGTCCATAGGTGGGGCTGAAAGTCCCCACAGGAACATGTGTATTATGTCATTTGATAGGGGTGTCCATCTTCAATGTAGTATTTTTTCACATGGAGGGAGGCTTGCCAGCAAACAAAGCCTTCCCACCTTCTGCACAACCCATTTCAGAGAGGAGCCCTTGAAGTTATGGGGGCCAGATGTCAGGACACCACTGCTTGTGCCCCAAGATGACTGCTGGAAACCTCTAAGACTGAACGGGGGAAGGATAAAGCCCAGACTGGGAGGCTGTCCAGTTTATGAAAGAAGCTTTTCAGAATGAAGGTGAGAGATTCCCTGTAGACAGTTTCTTAGTGTACTGAGCTTAGCTGGAATGTTTATTTTGCTTAGAAACTTACTTTGTTCTGAGTGCTATTACTTACAACCACTTACATCCGGTTTGTACTTTTGTATATATGAGAGAGTTTGTGTGTCTGGTCAGTCTGTCCAAGAACAACTCAAAAAAGGTAAGAGCAAGGATCGCTACATTTGATATGCACCTTCCTCTTATTGTAACTTAAAGCAAGTTCAGGGGTTTTGTGCCAGGACAATGAGATTTGCATGGAATCCGATTATTTTTCATGAAAGTCACAGGGTTTAGGATTATTTCTCTTAAAACGCTTGCAAGGACAGTTATACTGCAGAAAGAACACAGGGGACCGGGTGCACTGGTAAGAGTGGCTGTCTAGGAGTGTGACTTTGCATGTTGCTGTATGTAGGTAAGGTTCCCATGCTGGCGAGCTGCTGGTTAGGCACTACCCACCCTGTTGCACCAGGCAGCCCTGTGGATTGGACAGCCTTCTGCGCCCCTTGTTTCTACGCATCCCCAGCCCCCCATATTCCTAAGCCCCTGCAGTGCCGCAGCCCTTCCTTAATGACATGAGCAATGGCAGTTAACATGCTTGTTTACTAATGAACCAGGATCACTAGTTTTGCTGGGCAGAGGGTAGCCGCTGTGCATCCCCGGGTGTAAGAGCGAGGGCAGCCACGGCACTGAGACATTCCGCTGGGCCCGGGCACCTGGCTGTTGTGGCTGAGCTGCAGGCTCGATTACAGGGCCGGGGCTGCGCGACCGAGCGGGGGGGGCGTTTCACAAGCCGGCCGGGGCAGGGCGCTTCTGAGCCCGGGGACACGTGCCC